GCTGCTGCCGCTGTGTGCGACAGCGCGACCACGGCCGGCCCTTGCCGGCCGTCCGGCAGACTTTACAGACCAAACTGACTTCTTAACCCTTTTTCTAACTTAACATGAACATTAAACTGAATTTATAAAGAAATGGCTGAATTTACTCGCTGGACCTAACTCACGGCCGTGGTAGGCTCGCTACGTGCGAGGCCTACGGCCTACGGCCAAATGCTTCGACCAATCTTAATAATACTTCGACCAACATGAACTGAATAACTACAAATTGACATAACATGATCTTTTGAACACAAACTGTTCGGAACAAATTAACCATACTGAAAGATGAGGCCATCAAGCCCTCCATGGCCCGCGGTTGTGCGCTAGGTGCGCAGCCCGCCCCCCTTGAGCCATAACATGAACATAAAGCCAACTTTTACCGACCGATCTTACTCAGCTGAACCTTATACTTCAAATAAGAGCTAAAGGAAACAAAATTGCTCATGACTTGCTGGACAAAATTAAACTTAACTGGGTATAGAACGAACATGCACTTAACCGAGTTTAGCATGAATTTCTTTACGAATTTCTGAAAATCCTCCGAACAATTACCCTTAAAATGACTCTACTAACATTATTCTAACATGAAGAGGAAAGTACCTTCACAGGTGTTCGTCGGAATGATCAAACTGATTGGCCTTCTTTAGCTCCCGCGTGTACCCGCGCGTAGCTTCGTTTTGCCGTGAAATTTTATAAGGGTTGAAGGATTAATTTAGGGAAATTGCTTACTGAACTTAAGGCTTGAATATGCTGAAAGTTTGCTGTAAGAAAATTGGGGCAAAATTCTCAAACTTTCCTTAATTTATAGACGGCCGATTAGGGAGGGGGGTGATGGTGTGATGGCATGGCCACCTTTGGCTATTGCCATTTTCTTCTCTTTTAGGAGGATTAGATGATGACTAATCTCCTCCTTTAATCTCCTAAGGACACGTTTATAGCTTAACTTTGAAGAGGGAAATTAGTTCCTTCACTCCTAAGTTTTTGGAGCCACACTTCATACGGCTTTAGTGAAAATAATACGGAAAAATGGCCTTAACTCATGGTTATTAAGGCTTAAGTGTGATTAATTAGCTTAATTAATCACCAATATGTTTAATTATTCAATTAAACATAATACTTCATTACCAAAATTTATTTCGAACGTAACCGGTACGTCGAAAATAAATTTCGGTAATCTCGACTGAACATAATTAATTTCGAAAATAATAAACGATAACGTTATTATATCGGAACTAAACATAATTTATACCGATAAAATATCAGGATATTACAGCTCGCACAACTCCGCGAATCGGACGAACTCTGAGAAAGGCTGGCTCGCCAACCTCGA